GCTGTGAGTTCAAGACCAGCCTGGGCTACATAGTTCCATGTCAATCTCAACTACATAGTGAGATCCTGTGTCAAACAAACAAACAAACAAACAAATCCACAAAATAAATAAATACCCAATTATTCAAAAAAAAAAAAGAAAAAGAAAAAGAAGTCACTCTTTGGATTGAAATATCTAAATAGCTACATAAGGGTAACACATGGCCTTCTAAAACAAATACTGGATATAGTCAAGAAATCCAGGTTTTTGATCCAGTCCTAGTTTTACCTAGCAACCCACATGGTCTTTTTCAGAATGCAGCTCTATGACGCATTATAGTGCTAACATTACAATTTTAAAATTTGAACTTTTTTTTTTTTGGTACTGGGGATCAAACTCAGGACCTTGTGTTTATGAGGCAGGTGGAGGAACCACTGAGCTAAATCCCTGGCCCTACTGAAGTCTCACTTAACTCTGCAGACAGAAGAAGAAATGGTACTTTACTTCTCTATAACATGCCTCTGGAGATTAGCTGGGAACCTAAGAATTAAGACTTTATTTCTACAAAAAACCAAGTGTGTGTGTATGCCTGTGTTTCAAAGATGAAGGCAAAAAAAAAAAAAGGCAAAGGGCCGGGATTTCACTCAAGTGGCACTGCACCTGCCCTGCAGGGGGCAAGGTCCTGAGGTTGATCCCTGGTACCCAATAAAAAAAAAAAAAAAAAAAAAAAAAAAAAAAATCAAAGATGAGGGCTTCAGAGCTTCCTGGCAGCATCAGGCATGAATCAGGAATTCCTATCCCAGGAACTGCCTAGGATATTTTAACTACCATCTCTCCTTGGACTATAATATCTAGAATTGGACATTGTCAAAACCTCGTTCTAATCAGTCAGCAATATAATACACACAGACTTTAAAGAAAATTCTAGGTAAGTTATCCTTGACGACACTATTTAAATTACTTTAAACCCAGGACCTTGCACATGCTAAGCAAGCAGAGCCAAAGTTGCCCAAGTTAATGATCTTCTGTAAAGCAAAGAATCCTTTCCTTTTTTTGGTGGTCATGGGGCCTAAAGGTCCATGCAACCTAAGCACTAGCTCTACCACTGAGCTCTAACTTTCTTATTTTGATTTTAGGAGTTTTTTGAGACAGAGTCTTCCTATAGAGCTCAACCTGACTTTGAACTTACTATCTTCCTGCCTCAGCCTCTGGAGTGTCAGGATCACAGGATGTGCCACTACATCTAGCTATTTTACTTTGGGGGCGGTACTGGTGATTGAACTCAGAACATTGCGCTTGTGAGGCAGGTGGCGAAACCACTGAGCTAAATAAATCCCCAGCCCAGCTATTTTACTTTTTAAGAGATGGGTCTCAGTGTGCTGCCCACAATAACCCTGAATTCCAGAGCTGAAGCAATTCTCCTATCTCAAGTCTCCCAAATACCAGAACCAAGTGCCACTGTGCCTGCCTAAGAATCTTTTCTTAATGGAAAAGAAAACAGTAATTCTCACTTAGATGTCATGGCACAAACCTGTAATTGGAGGATCCCAAGTTTGAGGCCAGGCCAGGCAAGTTAACAAAATCCTGTCTCAAAAACATAAAAAGGCTGGAATGTAGCCTAGTGGTAGAGTGGCTAACATGTGCAAGGCCATGGGTTTAACACTATGTATTACCTTCCATAATCTTCACAAGAGTACCTATCTATGGCAAGAAGCTTATCAAGGCATGTTGGATGTATGCCTGTAATTCTAGCACTCAGGGAGGAAAATGGGAACATCTCAATTTCGAGCCCAGCCTAGGCAATTTATCAAGATTGTTTCAAAATAAAAAAATAAAAATAAAAAGGGCTTGAGATGTAACTCAGTACAAAGGTTATGGATCTAATCTGAATTATCACCAACAGGGGAAAAATTATCAATAAGACGTCCTATTGCCCTGTGTGGTTTAGTGTGTATTTCCTATGGTACAAGAAACAAAACACTAGTTCTAGTTGGGGTAGTGCATACCTGTAATCCCAGCACTGGGGAGGCCGAGGCAAGAATGCTGTGAGCTGAAGGCTAGCCTGAACCTCATAGTGAGTTCCTATCTCAAAAAAGAAAAAAGAAAGAAAAGAAAGAAAAGAAAGAAAAGAAAGAAAAGAAAGAAAAGAAAGAAAGAAAGAGAAAGAAAGAAAGAAAGAAAGAAAGAAAGAAAGAAAGAAAGAAAGAAAGAAAGAAAAGAGAAGAAAAAGAAAAGAAGGAGGAAGGAATTGGGGGTGCAGCTCAGTGTGAAGGTCTTGGGTTCAACGTTCACTATCATTAGATAAATAAATAAACATATTAAGTAAATATTAAGTAAAAGAAAGGCCTGGAGTTATAGCTCAGTACAGAGGCCCTGGGTTCAATTCCCAGCACTGTGAAAAATTTTTAAAAAGGAAAGATCTGGGCCAGGGATTTAGCTCAGTTGTTCCACCACCTGTCTTGCAAGCACAAGGTCCTGAGTTCGATCCCTGATTTAAAAAAAAGGAGTCTTTATTTTAAATTGATCATAGTGGCACATTTCTATGAACTCCACTTGGGAAGCTGAAACAGGACTGAGTTTGAGGCCAACCTAAACAACATATCATTAAGACCCTGTCTCCAAAGTCTGTTTTCCAAGAAAGAACTCATTAAATAGTCATCTTCAGCCAATCACTTGTTAAAGTACGCAGTACACTATAAACTATTTGCTAATTATTTCTATCATTTTGATAGGAATTCAATCCTTACCTCTAATTTTGTGTGTGGCAGTATCAGGGATTGAATCTAGAGTCTTGTGCACGCTAGGCAAGTACACTACTGAAAATATATACCCCAAGCCTCTCCTCTGATAGTATTAATGCAATATGATACCACCTCCATGACAAAGGATTTCCTCCACACTCACCTCGAGGTGCCAGGGAACAAACCCAAAGCACTCTAACAGTGAACTACAGCACCAGCCCCTGGCCAAGGCTTTTTTGGTTGTATGTCTTTCTGGAGTTTTTTTGGTACTGGGGATCGAACTTGGGACCTTGTGCTTTTGAGGTATACGGCAGCACCACTGAGCTGAATCCCTGGCCTGGTTGTATTTTTTTTTTTTTTTTTTTTTTTTAAGCTATGGTCTTGCCGTGTAGCCCAGGCTGGCCATGAACTCACAACAGCCTGCTTGCCTCAGTCTTCCATGTGCTGGGATTATAGAAATGTGCCACCAACCTCAGTAAGATCCCATCTCTTGTTTTGTTTTTGTTTTTTTGTTGTTGTTTTTGGTACGGGAGATCAAACTCAGGTCTTTGCACTTGCGAGGCAGGTGGCAGAACCACTGAGCTTAATCTCAGGCCCCAAGATCCCATCCCTTTAAATATCTATACACACACAAGCAATACACTTCAGCAACTCAATTAGAATTTTATTTATTCTTTTTTTGTTTGTTTGTCTGTCTGAGATGGGGGTCTTGCTTTGTAGGGCAGACTAGCCTTGAATTCACTATGTGGCCCAAGCAGGTCTTAAATGCACAGTGATCCTCCTGCCTCAGCCTCCTGAGTGCTGGGGGCCACAGGCAGGTGCCACCATGAGTAGCTTCAATTAGAATTTTAATAAAAAAGCACTTAGCTTGGTCCGTATACACAAAACAATGCTTTTAAACTTTAAAATAATAATGGGAAATTTGGTCTAAATGATTTAAGATCTGAAAACACTGGCCCCAGATAGCCTGGCCATGGCAACATTTGGTTGAGATCTGGCTAGCAGTTGCCCTCATTGACAGCACATGCATTTTTTTTTTCTTTTTCTTTTGGTATCAGGGATGAAACTTGGGACTTTGCGCTTGTGAGGCAGGCAGCAGAACCACTGAGCTAAATCCCCAGCAAACACATACATTTTCTAGTTCTAGCTTCCCACATAGTCCTTTGCTCATTTTGGTTACTACTGGCCTGCCCTTTATCACCATCAGTTTGTCTTTTTTTGTTTTTTTGAGACAGGATATTGCTATGTAGTCCAGGCTAGCTTTGAACTTCAGACTCTTCTGCCTCAGTCTCCAGATTCTGGGATTATAGCTGTGTGCAACAAAGTCCAGGTATAACTGAAAACCTTGTTTTGTCTTACAAGAAACCTTAATTAATAGAAGCTAGCAATGACAGGCATGGTGGTGCATGACTGTAACCCCAGCTACTCAGGAAGCTAAGGCAGAAAGATGGCAAGTTCAAGGCCACTGGGCCACTTACCAAGAACCTGACTCAGTATTAAAAAATAAGAATGGTTGGGGCGGGGGATTTAGCTCAGCGGTTCGGTGGCCTGCCTCGCAAGCACAAGGACCCAAGTTCAATCCACGGTAAAAAAAGAATGGTTAGGTGTGTAGGCTCAGGCAGAGAGCTTGACTACCGCATGTACAGCTCTAGATTCAATACACAGTACAAAAAGAAAAGGGAAAGATGCCAGGCATGGTAGCACAAGCCTGTCATCCCAGCACTCAGAGGCTGAGGCAGAAGGATCGATCGCTGCAAGTTTGAGGCCAACCTGGGCTACACAGTGAGTTCAAGCCAGCCTCAACTACATAGAGAGACCCTGTCTCAATGAACTGGGGGGCGGGTAGCCATTAAAATCTTTATCACAGAAACAGAATAGATCAAGTGATGATCCTGATCCTGGTATCACTTTAGTTTAAAGTTATGTATAACAAATATTAACTATAACTAGCATGACATCATTAAAATGTCTACTTGTTTTTTGGTTCTTTTTTTTTTTTTTTT